TACAATTCTATAAGCTATAAAGGAATTATTTTATCATTAGTAATCATATTTTACAGTATCCAATAATCATTTAAAAAGTAACCGTTATTAGTAATTATCCAATGAAATATTAATATACAATGGATAATGATGTTTAGGTAGTATGCAAAAACCATCTTGGTAATATACTTACTGATACATACATAATTGTATAATTATAAGGATAATGGCTTACAAAAAAAAGACATTTAAACACTTTACAACACTACAACGAATTACATGGGGCTAACCTAAACCTATTCAGGATATGTGTTGTTTTTTGAGGAAAAACGATTTAAGATCTCCCATATTTCCAGTGGTTAGGCCTCTTAAGGGCGCCAAATTTTTTATTGTACCAAAATGTCTAAACGCGTCACTGGACATAGTTAAATAGTTCTTAAGCATTACATTTTTATATTTATATTACAAATAAATGTATTAATATTCATTATAACTTAGGCAATATATTAGGTAATATTTTACAATAAATATGGTTCTATATACTGTGATGTAAACATACCATGGAAAAATCATAATACAATAATATTAGTGCCTCAGGTGACTACTCATCACTGTGTGGATAGGGAAAAAGAATATGACATAGGTATTAAATACTTAAATAATGAATAAAAGACGAACATCTCTATAACTATTCAGTACAGTAGACAGTAGTTTATACATACCTGTTTCCGTAAAAAGTGATGTTTTAAATACTTCAAGACAAATTACATGTTTAAACTCTTATTAATTGATGTAAAGGTAAACTGAATAACGTGGGTTAGATTGTACAGTCTTTAGAGGAATTTTGAATTTTTAACCTAACTTTCCATTATTATTGATTTGTCATTATGACGTTATGATGGCAATATTATGTCAGTATGTTCGGTATAATTATTGTGGTAATGACGCCAACAGAAATTATTTATATATAATTTTAAAACAATACAATTTACAACAATTACTGTGTAACATAGGGCGACATCTACTTGACGGTTTCGGTGCAATGGTATGACACCCCTGAACTTCTATGAAATGCAACACAACGTACAAGGATTCTTATCACTTGTCGTCCGAGTAAATAGTCCCCTAGCTATAGTCCCCCAACTTCACACACGTTAGTACAGGCACCGATAAAAAGGCATCTATGGTTGAACGTTTTAACAGAACATTAGGTGATAAGTTGAAAAAAGTACTTTATTTAAATAATGTATGGATTACTGAATTGCCAAGGATTATTAAGACATATAATAATACATACCATAGAACAATAAAAATGAAACTTGCTGATGTAAGTAAGAAAAACGAGAAAGAACTGCTTTCCACTGTTTATGATTATGATATTTGTAATTCCAAACATAAATTTGAAGTAAATGATAGAGTTAGATTATCTTCAATAACTGATGTTTATAGAAATAAGTTAAAGACAAATTGGTCAAAGGAAATATTTACAATTGAGAAAATTTTTAAATCGAATGTAAATTATTATAATATTTGTGATGTAACAGGCACGTTTTATGAACCGGAAATCTCGTTATCATTGTTATAAACCGAAAACAGTTATTTTCCGCAGGATATTGTTATCATAACAGCAACAAGTTCCAATTCCGTTATACCCCCATGGTTATCTCTCTGATAGTGGTGTACCGAGTAATATTTTAACGACTATTTTAAAAAATAACGACGTAATTTATATTTTTAATTTATCAATTTAATTCTATTCAATCAATTATTTTCCCTATAAATGAACAGACTATATTGCTTTAAGTGTAAACAAAAAACAGATAATATAAGTCCACTTATAATAAAAACTAATCACAACAGGAAGAGATTGTCTGCAAAATGTAAGCTATGTAGAACATTAAAATCAGGATTTATTAAGTAGATTATGACATAAACTAAATTGCTATCCATTTTCTATGTTTAGCATCAAATCGCTATTATGAATGAAAAGCAATGTATTCTAATTTATTTAACTTAATTTATATAGAATTGTACTATAACATGAACAAATATTCTAGTAACCTGAAAAAATTCCAAAATATTGTAATATTAAATAATCAAAATCATAAAATTCTTTTTTTAATCGGTGATCTAAAAGCTCTTGCATGGACGGAACATTTTTTATGTTAAGCTTGGAAGTAATAGAGTTTTGTAAATTTTAGAGTTGTTTTAAATTATAGGAATCTCCCCAAATAGTTATAGAATATTGTAAATGAGATTAGACTAAGGCAGAGTATACAGATTTTTTAAAACTTGATTCTATTGCAACATTAAAAACTGGTAATGATTTATTAATTTTGGAAATTATTTTTTCTAATTGAATTTTCCAAGTAAGTTCACGATCAATTATAACACTTAAATATTTATATTCCTCAACCATTTCGAGATTCTGACAATTACAAATATTTGGAATATTAAAAGTATTTTTACAATGGTAATTACGAATTGTTAAATTGTTGTTTTTGTCTATTTTTTCCGAAAAATCTATAAATTGCGTTTTGGAGATATTCAGAGATAATTTATTTTCCATTGACCAGTTTTTAATTTTAAGAAGATCGTTATTTGCTTTTAGATATAGATCATTCGGGTTATCTGCATCTACCACTAAGGCAGTGTCGTCCGCGAAAAGAACTAAGTTTCCGTTTAATTTAATATTTGTTAAACTGTTAATATAAATAATAAATAATAAAGGTCCAAGACAAGTTCCCTGCGGAACTCCACAAGTAATTAATTTTTTAACAGATTTTGTTTTACCTAATTTTGTGCAACATGTTCGTTTTTCCAGATAAGATTTAAGTAATTTGTATGCAACTCCTCTTATGCCTATATTTTCCAATTTTAATAACAATAAATTATGATCAACAGTATCAAAAGCTTTTTTTAGATCTAAGAAAACAACAAGCTTATATTTTTTATCTGTTGTAATATGTGAAATTAATTTAGTTATTGCGTCTTCAGTGCTTCTTCTTTCCCGAAAACCAAATTGTGAACTAGACAGTAAATTATTTTTATTTAAGAAATTAGTTATTCTAGTATAGATGCATTTTTCAAAAATTTTTGCAATATTAGATATTTAGGATATTGGTCGATAATTATTCGGATCTAACTTACTTCCAACATTTTTATATATAGAAACAATATCTGCGTGTTTAAATTCACTCGGAAAATAATTATTTTCAACAAATAAATTAAACATACACGATAAAGGAACAGATATAGATTTTTTTTTTGGATTTTAATAATTCTACACTAATTTTATCGGAGCCTGGAGCTATATTATTTTTGAGAGAATTAATTATGAGTATTATTTCATCTGGAGTAATTGATTCGAAAAAAATAGAATTAACAGAATAATTGCATTTAGTTTTTAATTTGGCTTCCATAGAAGGTATTTTAGAAGCAAGTTTAGGACCTATATTTACATAATGATTATTTAATATATTACAATCAATGTCGATAACAGTTTTCTTTTTATTAATTTTTAAATAATTGCAGAGCAACTCCCATTGTATTTTAGGATTTTTTTTGTGAATAATATTAATTTGTTTTATAAAGTAACTTTCACGTAGAATTTTGATATAGTGCCTAATTTTTGATTTGTAAAACACTCTTAGAGATTGTTTTTTTCTAATTAATTTATTACGTATTTTTATAGAAGCAATAATTCCTTTTGTAATCCAAGGATTACAAACTGTTTTCGACAAAGTTGTTTTATTAGAATTATAATTATTTGGTTTACTAAAATATGTCGATAAAAATGTATTTACATACTTACTATAGTTCCGTGATGGAGTTGGTCGTTCGGTGTAATACTCCCCTACGTTTGTCATGATTTAGCATCAATTCGCTATTGTATGACAAATTTCAGGGAGAAATACAGATTTTATTTGCAGGTGTTAACTGTGTTAGCCGTTTATAGGCATACTGCAAATGACAAAAATTAAACTGCGTGGCCTGTATTTATTAACTAAATTATCTCTAGTAGTGTTCATACAATCGGCTCTCATTGGCTGTATTCTGCTCATTACTCTTGATTGAGAATATTATAAATGACATCATATTTACTATGAAAACGTTGAAAACCAGGAATGTGAAGGACAATCGGTGACCACACCCAAAGTGTCGTCCTGGAATTCACACTCAACTACACAGTTTCCACAGCTGTTCTGCTTATTTAATTTGGTTTTAATATATATTATATTTCCTATAACGATAAGCAAATATATGGCGGAAGCTGCTTGGCTGTAATGTTTAAAATATATATAAATTGTTTGAATAATTTTCTTGGAATATTTCTAAATTCTGTATTTTTCTAATGTGTTCTAAAATGTATGTAATTTTGTATAAAATATGTGAAATATCATTGTATTTGTATATAAATTGTATACAAAAAAGCACTCAAAATTCGATGTAAAAAAATCAAATTTGTTGTAAAAATGTTAAAATAAGCTAGTTTTAAGTTAATTTTTTGATTGTAAAAATAACCGACTATAAACCGAACATACATAATGTATCTACTGAGAAACAATTTTTTTTTGAAATACAATTTATATATTGTCTGAATCATGTAGACTCTGTGAAAAATCATTGTAAAAATCTGTTGTTTGTGACATGTGAGACATTTGAGAGGAATCAGACACCGATGGGATCATTGTTTGGAAAGTTGATACCTGTGGCTGGTACTGCAGCGGAGTTGATATATCGTCAATAATGTTAAAAACTCGTCGTTTGAATAATTTGATTTGAGAATCACTTAGATCTTAAAATTCTGGTATTAGACTGAGTAGAAACATTTTGATACCTTGTTGTCTATCAATTTTTTGAGAGCTATTCTCTGCTTCAGTTATCTGCAACCTTGCTCGCTTGGCATTAAAATATTCAGTTATAGAACGATCTGCGTCTGCTGCTGATGTTTTTTTTTTCAAAGTACATTTTTTCCTGGCTTGAGTGGACGATGATAACTGTACCGGTGGATCAATTGTTTATTGAGATGGTGTTAAATTCTCGGTTGAATTACTAAGATGAAACGGTGACATTACTGGAGAGTCAGGGAATAATGTTTGTGTAGTTACAAATTCTTGCGACAAATCCATTTGAGATGCACTATCCTCAAATATTTCTGTGTTTTCTACAACTTCACCAGGTGAGTTGAGAGGTACTGGTGGCAAATTTCCGGTTGATGGAGGAGCGGATGTTTTTATAAATGGCAAACAAAAATGCATGGCGTTTTCCAAATAGTATGAGTTTTTTTTTTGCTCCAGCTCCACTTGGTCGCGGTTTCATTTTACGCATAAAAACTGTACGTAGATTTCGCCACTTCTCTTTGCATTCAGCACCTGAAATCAAAAAAAAATCAGAAACTCGCTCTGCTGTACAGTTGGGGTGAAGTTGACCCCGGTCATAGAATAGGTCACTATAATATATAATATAACCCAGTGTTTCTCAACCTGGGGTCGCGACCCTTTTGGGGGTCGCCAACTTATTATTTAGGGTCGCAATCAAATTATTTAAATCATACAATTATGTAAACAATATATATGTAAGGGTCGCTAAAAAATTGAAATTTAAAAAGGGGGTCGCACAGTTAAAAGTTTGAGAAACACTGATATAACCTATACTGTATAACCTAACCTTACGTGTGAATTTTTAAATTTTTAAATTTTTAGTATCGTAGAAATTTAAAATTTAGACGCTCGTAAAAATGTTTGGTTTTAGTTTTAGTTTTAACCTCCTAATCTTTCAAAAGTTATATCATTTATAGGTGATGCCAAATATAATTTTCCATATGGCCTACGATATAATATATTATGATATGTAGGAAAATAAATAAATATTTATCATCGATAAAGTTGTAGAACCTTGTATTTAAATTCGTATTATTACAGGTATTTGGCTACTGGTGGAACATTTGTTGCGCTTTCGTTATATTTTGCCAGAGGTGAAAGCACAGTCAGAAAGATTATCAGGGAAACTACAGAGATCATCTGAAATGTACTGAAACATATTCATATGCCTGTACCAACACAAGATCAATTTAAACACTTTGCTAATCGTTTTGAGCTACTATGGAACCTTCCCAATTGCATTGGTGCCTTGGACGGGAAGCACATTCAAATTGAGAAATTTCCACACACAGGTTTTGAAAATTTTAATTATAAACATTTTCACTCTACAGTACTTATGGCATGCTGTGACGCAGATTGCCTTTTCACCATCATTGAGCCGGGTTTTGCTGGACGTAACAGTGACGGAGTAATTTTTAAAGCATGTGCAATGAACTACTGGATGACCCATGGGGGTTTTAACATCCCCTCACCCTCCTCATTACGACATGATGAAAGTAACACTCCATTTCCTTACTACTTTGTCGGAGATGAAGCGATTCCACTGTCTCGAAACTTATTGAGACCCTATTCAAGTAGAACCCTTGATAATACGAAGAGAATATTTAATTATAGATTGAGACGCGGAAGAAAATCTATTGAATGTGTGTTTGGTATGGCAGCAGAAAAGTTTGCGGTGTTGAATGGGCCCATACGATGTCGTGATCCAACAACAGTGAATGATATAATAAAATCTGCCTGCATCCTTCACAATTTCGTATGGAAACGAGAAGGAATTGAGTACAGACCCCACGACACAGCAAAAATGGACGAGACCGCGGAAGTACCAACCAACATACGAGTACGAGATATGTCTATACACGAAGGTTCTTCAGCGACTACTTTGAGGAATCATTTGGCAAACTATTTTCTTTCTCTTCGTACAAGTCTCCCCTGGCAGTGGAAATTCGCAGTACCGGAAGGGAATACAGAATAATTTTACAGTTATGACTTATTTTAAAACTTGTTTTAAAACGTTGTTAACATAATGATTAAATGCGGGTACTTCAACAACATAAAAAATATTATAATTCATTCATTTTTAATTACCTAATCGTATCATCTACCTACTCTTAATTTTTTATTTTTTTTTTAAATATATATGTTACATACAAAGTGCGGAATTGTACACATTGTGAATTGTACAATGTTGCTGTACAAAGTAACTAGATTGTACAAGTTATATTATACAATTCGAGATGTGTACAATAATCATTGTACACATTGCAAAATGTACAATCATTGTACACATCACAATATGTTTTTAAATGTTGTGATTTGTTATATAATAATATGAGTAAAGACCAGGTGTATTTTAAAACATACCAGTTATCAAGGATGGGCTTTAGCACATCTCTATTCTCTATACATATAAGAGCCCACGAAGCCATGATTATAATACCTTCTTATATTTAGATACCTACTCATTAGTTATTATTTATTTGTATAATAATTTTATTAAAAAAATGAAAAATGCCCACCTAGTCTATTATACATGTATACATTCAGTACAATAGCAATTGAAAAATATTAAAAATACATAGGCACAATTTTTTTTATAAGCATTTAAAGATCGCATTTTGACAAAATTTATCAAAATCTCGAAAATTATCAATCATCGTAATTAATAAATTATAAAATGTCAGTTTTTATAGCTAAGGATTGAAAATTTAAAAAAAAGATTCTCATAAATAGTTCATACTGTAGCCAAAAAATCTAAAAAATATATGAGCACAGTTATTTTTTACAGACATTTTAAGTTCAAATTTGGGACGAAATTACATATTAAAAAACCTAGCATAGGTACCTATTTTAGTTATTTTGTTGTGAGTGTATAATACTATTCTTGGGTACTTGAAACTTCTAAAGTACACTATATTATATATCTATGTAGTATCAGGGTTTGTTATTGATGTATAACGTGTTATAAGTACCTAATGGATATTGTGATATGATTAATTTGGAATTTATTATAGGTAAATTTTTTTTTTAATACCATAGATATGTACCTAGGTATATTATAATATGTCTTAAACCTAGACTGACATACCGTCTTCGCTCAGAATCGTTTTTCTTATACAATGATATTGTATCATTGAATTCAAATTTAATAGCATCCATTATACAGTGACAAACTTGTAACCTACTGTACAGCAGAGTGACATCCACTTACCCACCTTTTTTTATTTTTATTTTTAACTTAAACTTAATTGATTTATTAAAAAGTCTATTAACTTAACTTTTAATTAAATTTAAAAAAAAAATTAACTTAACTTAACTGAGTTAAAAAATTGCATTAACTTATAATATGTTTTTAAATTTTGTGATTTGTACAATGATTTTACATTTCACAATTTGTACAATTTAATGCAAATTTTCTCTACGTTTACAAAATACAAATACAAAACATTTTAATTAGTAATAAATTACTGAACTTTTCAAACCTACCTGGCATATTAACTTGGGCAGTCACATCTTGCCATGCTTTTTCCGTCAAATCTTTCCTGGAATACGCAAGGAGTTTATAATTATAGAGCTCTTCATGCTTACCAACCTCCTTGACGAACTTTAAGTTAAGTTCCTGGTCACTCATTTTCAGAAATTGCAAAAAAAACAGATTGAATATATTATATTAGCACGAATACAACACGTCTACACGTGATTCATTATAACAACAACGCAACTGCAACCGCGGGAAACGATTGTGTACAACCGATTGTAAACTGATTGCAAACTAATTTTAGTTTTATCGCTTCGTGTGCGGACGCCATAGCTATACGATACCAACGTCACAAAACAGTTGCGAGTGCAACGGTTTGCAACTTTTGTCAAAAAACAGTTGCGCCGTGTGCGCTTGGCCTTAGTATCGACTTGGTGGCTGCTCTGCTGGTGCTCGTCTGCTGGACACTTGTCCATCGACGTATCTCGTCGGTATTCCTAATAGATCCCTCCTATGGCATTATTAGTATAATAATGTTACACGCGCCGCATCCGCCTGAGGTCATTTCTGACGTCTTTTACGAAAACAATGTTAACTACCATTTAAATGTTCCCTAGTAACATCCTTTCCTAGGATATGTCTTTCCTAGAATATCTTTTCCTAGTATATGGATATTGCGTGCTTATACTTATCACGTGTTCTTATTGATGTGGCCGTTATTAATTAGTTCTCTTTAATGCAACCGCTCGGTTGCTGATATTATGGCTGCAACTTGTTAGCGCACATTTTATAATTTTTACCTGAAAAATCGGAACTCATTTGCGCACACGGTTATCCTAAATGTACAACTGGTTTGCGCACACGAAAATAAGGCTATATGACATAAGCGCCAAAGGTGCAAAAATGCAAGACTGGGCATTAACAAGTTAAAAAGTTAAAGTTAAGTTAATAAGTTAATTTTATATTAACTTTTTAACTTAACTAGTTACTTTTGGCTTTTCATTAACTTAACTGTTAACTGTTAAAAATGACATATCATTTGCGCCAAAATAAATATTTTATATAAGTAGTTTTTCTAAATTGATATATCTTATAAAAATTATATTATATATGTATACTATATTATACTAATATTATTTTATATAAATAGTTATTTGAAAATTGCTGTCTTAAAAGAATATTTTTATATAGAATATTAGAATATAGAATAGTTTCTATATTTTTGCTCTTTAAACAAAATACACACAACACCTTTATTCGTAACAGTTTTTGTAAAATCCATTTTAACGAATGCTTACAAAATAGGTACTATAACAATATGTTACAGGGGACGAGGTGGCCGAGCGGTCGGACACGTCGTCTGCGGCGCTGGCAGTCGCGGGTTCGATCCTCTCGACCACTGTGCGGTATTTTTCTCCGGGCAAGTCACGGTGTCCGGAGAACAAGTGCCGCCATCCCCCACTCCGGGGCATGGCAGAAACCTACGGGTGCCCCATTCAAAATTCTGCCAAAACCCAACACACACGTGTTCCTCCCCCTACCGTAATAACAACACACAAAAATAAACCACTAACACCCAATGGCCTATGTTGCCGCGGGTTATCCAATAAAAAAAATAAAAAATAAAAAATATGTTACAACACAAAACTGCTCACACACCACTGTCTATGTGACAATCTATTGTAATCAGATTATACATTTGTCGATTAAAATTAAACGTTTGGAGTATGAACTTGGAGTATGAGTTTATGTACGATACGATTTATTACTTATTAAGAGGGTATTAAAAGGTCAGGCCAAAAGGTAATTGTGCGCAAACCATGTGCATGTTTACGGCTCAACTGTTCCCAAACGAGTGGTAGTTTTGTGCCCAAAAAAGTTGTCTTTTTGGTATTTGTGCGCAAACCAGTACCGACCGATATTATAACTATTACGCGATCCCTGTAGCATTTACGTCTATTGTTGAACAAAAAATAGGTATATATATATAAAAATTACAATCGTACTTTACCTAATACAATGTAATATTTTATATATTATTACTATTATTAATATATACGTAGTCACAGCTCGTTACACTTAAAAGAGATAGATAATCATGAATAATTTTTATAATTAAATTTTTGTAAGTTATGATGATTTCAAATAAAAAATAAGGGTTTTTTTATAATATTTAAATTAAAACTACATAAGAATATTATAATAACATAAATTTATTAACTTAATATAATATTATTTTGCAAATATTCTTTGTATGTTTTGAGTTTGTTAAATTTACAATACTTTGATTATAACTTCAAAAAAATATTTCCTGAACAATAAACAAATAATTTATTATAACATTTCATTCTGGATGTTATACGAATGTTTCACAGTTGTTGTATTTTTAAGGCAATATATTTTAATAAAAGCATTTTTATTTTGCTTCAGTTATGTATAGTTATGTATTATCATTAATATTTTATGATTTTACAATTAGCTCACAGTCACAGTCTTAGATTATAGTATAATTTATAGTGTACTGTCTAGGATAATACAATATGCTATTGTGACGGACATTTAAATAAAACTAGACTAAATATATTATGCGTGTAATCATTTGTTTAAGACGATGATTTAATCAGAGCATCCATACAATTTAAAATACATTATATTTTTAACACTTAATAGCGATATTTAATCCAATTGTTGCGTTTATTGAGTACGACACTGCTGCTAGTTGCTACCAACTAATTTGCAAATTGTCCACTAGGCGGCGTCATTTTCCGTTGTAATAAATTGTTATTTGAAATTATTGCGGTTGAGTGTATTATAAAATCCGCTTGACAGCTTATTGGTCATCGAACGTTCTAGACGCCCTCCAGGAACCGAGATCGTGCGTTCCCGCGATACCCGTCAAAGCGCTTATCATAGATCGATCGAAGCGGTCCGTGCGGCGAGCGCTTTAAACAAAAGTTAAACTGGACTGATAGACATCACCACAGTTAACAATTAACATAGTTATTACTTGTTTCACTTAACGTGCTGTTTTTTTCTGTGTCACCTCGTGTGTTTAAATAGTTAAAAACGCGACCCGCGTCTTCCTTTCGTTGTCGTATTGTGCATTTGTGCGTCATATACTCGTGTGTGATAATAACCCGTCGATAACATTTTTTATTCAGCGCTTCTCCGTATGAATAAATATTTTTTATATTTCTGTGGCGGTTTTTAAGGTTAGCCGTACCTAGAAGTTGTTTACTTGTGTTCCATCACCATACTACCTGCACGTGACAAACTTTAGGTACAATTCGCATGTACGTTCGCTGCTGGATCGGTTGGTTTTTTTGTTTTATTACGACTTGACGAATACCTACAAAGCTGCAGTAAGTTATTTTTCACAACAGTATATTATAATATCAACACAAGTTTAGGTAGGTACCTATTTATTATAATATTATTAGAATCATATTATTAGTGAAAGGTAAAAGATATTTTATTAAAAATGATTCGAAGTACAC